TAGACTTATATCGAAAATTTCCTTTAGCTGCTCCCATTGCTGAGGACTCTACAAATGGATGAAACCGACTCGTGCACGTCTTTGTAACTCCTCTCTCATAACCGGATTATACACTTCGTCTAAAGTAGGAAATGGTTTCATCATCACCACATGTGACCTCGAGCCACCAAAAGAATCATTTAAACCATTCAAAAACCGAACATATAATCTTTCCGTTGTAAATTAAAGTATTTCTTGAAGCAACTTGAACTACATTTTCCATACTCACAACGAGCTAACGACTTATAGCTCCTTAATTCTTTTCAAACAGAGTTAAGCTTAGTGAAATACTCATCCAAGTCTGCGACTTCCTTGATTAATCACATACAACACATGCTCGTAGATTACGGATCTTGGAATCATCTACCCGAGAGAATCGTTTCTTCAAAAATTCCTAAATCTCTCGAGTTGAATCCATGTAGAAGATTGTTGCGAGCAATTGGAGGTGAAATTGACTTAAGGAGCCATGAAATGATTAGATTGTTACATCATAACCACGGTCCATCGCTCACATTATCTTTAGCTAAAGTGACAATGGATCCATCCACAAAACTAGTCTTATTACAAATCGATAATGCAAACATGAAGGAACGACTCCATGAAGCATAATTGCTTAAAACTAACTCGGGGAAACCACTACCGTACTCGTGATTATCGAAGCGGTGAAGATAGAATGGAGACTAAGGATCCTCTATAGAGACGGCATAAAAAGAGCTCGCCATCACCGACTCTCAATTTGTGTTAAGGAAAAGAAGAAGAAGAATAGCTAATCGGTAACCAATAACTATGATACCATGTTTGAAGATAAAGAAACAAGTCCTCTCGTTTAACAAGAGGCGGAGAGAACAAGCAAAACAGAGGAAAAACGATGAGGTACCTTCCTCTCATTTCATAATAATATCCTCTCTCGCATCTACATTACAAACCGTAATAACCTCGTCCCAAAAATATACACTATTCATGCATACACGCATACTTAGGAATTTCACGCATATAATTATACCTACATATGACATGTTAGTGGGGTATTGGATAATAAGTATTTTGAATAATAGGAAGAATTAGGGGCTCAATTGAATGTAATCTAAGTTGGGGACTAGAATAAAAACAAGCTAAAACTTGAGGGACCAAAATGAACTTTGTCAAAATATCTTCACAACCTTATCAAGATTACTTACCTGATCATTATCTCTTTTTATCCCATCTGGTTTCCCATTTTGAGAGAGAGAAAGAGAGGAAAATGCTATTTCTTTGTCAAATTCGGATGATCAAGTCGGAAATCTAGGTAAGTTCATCCCACTACTGTTTTGCACTCTTGATTTCGAGACTTTAGGGTCAGATCTGGAACAAGTTGTAAGAATACAAATTTTTGGTTTGTGTCTTATATAGCTCTCTGTGAAAGGGTTTTGTATTTAGTGATTTATATTTCGGGTTATGATGGTTTGAACACATATTGTTCTAGGTGTCGACTAGATTAGTGTGCAAACTTTAAAAATATGGTATTCTTTGGGTGTTGAGTATTGTCACCTGATTTTTGGATATTTTTTATATTGATATGTCTAGTTCTTTTTAAAAAAATAATTAGGTCTTGATCATGTCCCAATCTAGATTTATTGTTGTTTGTTTGGAGACTGCTCGGTAATGAGGGTCTTTGAAGCTAGTTAGAGTTTAAAAATCTAGAATAAATCATGTATATGGAATATTAGGCTGATTTTTGGATATGTTAGATCCCTTTGAGTCTAGTTTCATGTGAAACTAGAATTTTGTCATTTTACCTCGTATTTTAGGATTTATAGTACAAAGAGTGTGAACTATGAAGGGGTCGAGTACCCATAAAGAAATGACAGACAACTCGATTTTTAGAAAATCACCATGAGGTGTGTATTTCATACCTAGACTTGATTTTTGGACATGTTAGAGCCCTATGAGTCTAGTTTCATGTGAAACTAGAATTGCATCATTTGAATCTGTATTTTGGGACTTATGGTAGAAAGAGTGAAAAGGGGTCAAGTACCCATAAAGAAATAAGTTAACCCTAAAGTCATATTTTGTACCTTGAGCATATTTAGAAGTTTGATCATGATAAAATGACTTATAAAAGTATATGTGTATGTATTTATAGACGCCGAGGAGCGTGAGGTGTGAGACGCGACGCATTGATAAACGACAAAGACGTCATTTTTGTGAGTGAATAATAATAGTTGTGCCATGATGTGTTATTGCTATTGAGTGCTAATATTATATTTATTGATATTGATACTATGATGTGAATGATGTGCCGTTTGCTAGTTGACGCAAACATTGTGTTTATTGATGTTATAACAATATTATGTTTATTGATATTGGTACTATGATGTGAATGATGTGTCATTTGCTAGTTGACACAAACGTTATTTTTATTGATGTTATAATGGATATGTACCATGGTGTAAGCTATGGATGTTGTATATGCTATATGTGAAACATTCATGATATATGCAAGACTAAGAGGTTAAGGTTATGATCGGCTTGTCTAAGTTTTGCAAATACAAGTTTACGAGGACCCAACGGTCAACTACAAGTTATAAAAGTCGGCCGACAATACATGTGTACAAGTTTACAAGTTTACAAGTTTACAAGTACATGGGCGAAACTTGACATGTCCAAGTTATAACCGATAAGAAAAAGAAAAGCATGTAATCTTAGAGTCATATGAACTACTCGTATTGTTTATATGTGATGATACTTGGATGACGTGATTGCATGTTATGGTTTCAATGGATTATTGTTCTCTCATTGAGTAGCATCTCATTAAAAATGCAATTATTTTTTTAGGTACTAAGAAGCAAAAAGTTAAAGTTAAAGTCATCTTTTGTTGTTCAATTCACGTCATAAGTGACGAGTCGACTGGCGATCTCCCTCTCCTCTATTTCATTATGCCGAGCATATGCATCCTAGGAGATTTTTGAATTGTATATGTAACTATGTAAATATGAACTCCTGGAGGTGTTTTGAGACATGTTTATGAACAAAGAAAAAGTGGTTTTGATTGAATATTCAAGGGTTATAAGTGAAAAGAATGTTGTTGATTAGGTTTTGAAGTATTATGGCTGAAAAACCCTTATTTTGGGCGAAAATGTACACGGAAAGGTACACGCTCGTGTGGAAGGCCGTGTAACCTTCTATTTTCAAAGGAAAATGAGTTTTAAGTTACACGAGCAAGTACACGACCGTGTTGGATGCCATGTAACCTGCTCGCCCAAAAAAAAAAAATCATAATCTTTCTAATATGAGGTTTTAATGGTCCTAAGTGATATTTTGTGATTAATTGAGTTTTCTAGAACTAAATTCGCTAAGTTATACGAAGTTTTTGTAAGGAATTAGGTTAAGGACGCTACACAAACCCTTCTTATATACCGAGATAAAATCAACTAGAGAAGAGGATGAAGAAGATTCGAGTTACAAAAAAAAAAAACACAAAACAGAAAGAGAAACAAATTTGACCAGACTTGTAACAAACCAAAATGTAGCTCGTTAGAATATAAATTGACAAATAAGCCCTTCTATTTCGATAAAACCGATAATACTCTATTTTTTATTTTTTAATTATTTTTTGGTATGATTTTTTTCTATTTTTCTTTCAATTTTGAAAGGAAAATAGGTTCCATCACCTTTAAATTTGTTTATTATTATTATTTTTTTCATAGATTTTCTTTGAAAACCAAATAAGTTAAAATTTTCTTAACACTTTTATTTCCGCTCCCTAGCTTTTCATTCTATCCAAACACAAGGTTAGGTTAGTTTTGTTTATTTGCTCGTCGTTTACTTCGTACAAAGTTTGTTTTTGCCCTTTGTTTATTTGTCAAAACATTGCTTGAATGTTCTATTAATTATGCCACGCCGAAACTTTTGGTGTGTATACTTTCTTACCTATATCTTAAGGTTTCCTAATGGCACTAATCCTAAATGAATCATTATTATCTTGTTCATGTTGAAGCTCCCGGTGCTGTTTGTAGTCTAAAGGTGATCTAATGAGATTATGTTTTATTGGTTTTCCTAGATTGCTATCAATACTTGGCTGTTATATTTGTTTCTTTCCACTAAATCAGTTATAGTTGTTTATTTAGTTCTTGTGAAATAAAAATCGGATGCAACAAAAGATAAAAGAAAGGAAAGGTCGTGAAAGAGGAGAATTAAATGCTGTGTGAAAACAATTGAAGAATGGGGACCAGAGGAATGGCAATCGTTGAAAATAGACAGATAACACAGGGGCAAAAAATGGGCAAGTTGCGACATAAAAAAAGCAGCAAACGCCAGGCGAAGGGATAAGTTATCAAAGGTCCAAGAACGGCCAGAAGCGATGAGCAACAATCCAAAGGCCGAGAGGTAAAGAGAAGAGGCGCACAGCAGAAGTGTGTCTTTGTCTATAGTAAACATGAGGGTGTATAAACAGTAAATAAATAGTAAACAGTTAAGATGTTTTAGGTTTTTTTAATAATATCTATTTTTTAAAGAGAGAAATAGATTAAAAAAACACACACACACATCTGGCCCACCAAGTAATATATCGCATCGGCTTAATTTTTTAATTTTTAATTTTCTCTCTCTTATTCTTTTTATTTTCTGTATCAAATTTCTCTGTAAATATTGATGGATACTCTATGACTAATATAAAATTTCTCATCCATTAAGTACCATTTAGTAACGTAGTTTTAGTTTTTTTTTAAAGTGTGTTCAGACTGTGAAAACTTTAAAATGATGCTTTTCAGTTGTTAGAGTACTTTTAGATAGTTTAATATGAAGACGTTAAAATTAATAAAAGAAAAAAAACACCTCACAAGCAACAATTTGAGGTACTCTCCGCGAACCTCTCGCTGAAAAGAATATATATCTCTATCTACACAAAAGCTCCACTACCTCAACTTCCTCCGTTTTTGTATCATCGATATCTCTGTTTTCTTTGTCAAAAAATCTCTTTTTCGATGGCATTCGTAACTGCTAGCGAAGTTACACATGAATTCCATTTCTTCCGAGTATACAAAGATGGTCGTATTGAATTCTTATTGCAAGATTCCGAGAAAATACGACCCTTTGATGATCCAGTAACTGGGGTCCAGTCCAAAGATGTGATCATCTCTCCTGAACCCCAAGTATCCGCCCGGATTTTCCTGCCAAAGCTCAAAAACCCCAACCAGAAATTCCCTCTCTTGTTTTACATCCATGGCGGTGGTTTTTGCTTGCGATCTGCCTTCTCTCATCGAAACCATAATTTTTGCAGCCAAGTAGCTGCTAAAGCTGATTTTATAGTCGTATCGGTCGAGTATGGCCTCTTCCCGGCCCGGCCCTTACCCGCATGCTACGAAGACTCGTGGACAGCATTACAATGGGTGGCATCGCATGCTAGTGGGAACGGACCAGAGCCATGGTTGAAAGATCATGCGGATTTTGATCGTGTGTCTATCAGTGGAAATAGTGCTGGAGGCAACATAGCACATACTTTGGCATTTCGGGTCGGGACAATTGGGTTACCCGAAGGAGTAAAGGTGGTTGGGATGGCTTTGGTGCAGCCATTTTTTGGTGGCAGTGAGGAGGAGAAAATGTGGTTGTATATGTGCCCAACTAATAGCGGGTCTGATGATCCAAGGCTGAATCCAGGCATGGAGGATCTTGCTAAGATTGGGTGCCAGAGGGTGTTGATTTTTGTAGCTGAGAAAGATGCTTTGAAGGTAGTGGCCAAGAATTACTATGAGAAGTTGAAGAAGAGTGGATTTAAAGGAGGTGTTGAAATTGTGGAGCATGAAAGTGAAGGTCACACCTTTCATTTGAAAGATCCAAAGTCCGAGAAGGCTGGTCAGTTGATGGAAAAGCTAGTCTCTTTTCTCAAACAAGAGTGAGTAGCTGGGTTGTCTAATTTATGTTTTCTGTGGTCTACATAAGGAGTACTATGTTTGAGTGGTTGGAATATGATCTAATTTAAGGTTTCTGTTGTCCAGATAAATGAGTCTGGGATGAAACCTACTGTGATAAACTTTTGTTTATCATAACGATTTCCATAATAATAATAATTACAATTTCAGTTCCTCTAGACTCTGTCTGGACCATGAATAAAAAAAGAAAAAAAGAACAAGGTATTTCTTGAACTGTTGTTGATGGAGGACAGCTTAGGGGCTGTTTTGGATCTGATCTTAGGTTGTTTAGGGATGTTTAGGGTTATATTGAAATAGGTTTTTGCTAAAATACGAGGAAGTATGTGAGTAGATTCTAGGAGTCACATCTAGAGAGTAGAAAAATCATAAGCTTCACACCTGGAATTGTCAGGAGTCACACCTAAAAGAGATTGAGTCACGCAACCAGAAGCAAATTGCTGAAAATTGTTTGATATTATTGCATATTGAATATTGAAAGACTACATGTTGAATTTATAGAGTTGTAGAAGTTCAAATCCAATTAAATCAAAGATTCCTAAACCTCCTACTTAAATATCCCTAATTAAATCGAGTAGACCTATAATTATTCTAATTTTAGAATAGGAAAACTAACTTTAGAACCAATAAAATACTTAAATAAAAATACTATAATTTCAAAATTTTCAGCAAATTTGAAATTACTATAATGCCTCAATCAATTACCCAAATTCCTAATTAGGGCTAATCAATCACCCAAATTTCCTATAAGGGTTGTTGCCCACGTCCCCTATCATCTCTCCCTAACCGAAAAGAACTTGACCTCAAGTTAAAGGTATGAAATCGGGCATGCAGATTAGGGTTAAGCTTTTGCAACTCTTCCTCTGTAATCCAAGTGCAATAAGCAAGTGATCATCCTTTCCACTTGACAAGGAACTCTTGGTAGCCTCCGGTTCTAATAGAAACCATTTGATAGTCAACAATATCTTCAATCTCGTTTTTGTATTGTGGTGCTTGGTGGCAATTTAGAAACAAAGTAAGATCTTCAACGAGTAAAAGTACTACTTATGCTTATGTCATCCGGTAGGTCTAAGACATAAGCGTTGGAGCTAATCTTCTTTAGAACCATGTAACGTCCCGTACGGCGTGAGTGAAGCTACTTAAATGCACCTTTAAGATCCGCCTAGGTTTGATCCGCACCATAAGCATGTCACTTTCCTTAAACTCAACAAAAATGCTTCACAAATCAACATGAGATTTGTAGCTTGCATTGCTAGAAGCAATCTTTCGACGAGCATCATCATGTATGTCATGAATATGTTTTGCAAAAACTTCTATTTCTATATTAGGACGAGTCTCGATAGGCAAGGAAACCAAATCAATTGGTTTTCTTGGAAGCATACGTGTCACACTTTCAAAAGAACCGAGTCCAATACCTCGATTCATTGAACTATTATAAGCAAATTCAGCCATAGGACGAACTCTATCCCAAGTAGAAATATGATCACCAACACAATAACGAAGAAGATCACCCAAACTTCTATTAGTAACTTCCGTTCGAGGATGAAAAGAAGAAGAAAATTTCGGTTTTGTGTTAAACATCCTCCATAAAGAATGCCAAAAAAAACTCACAAACTTCACATCACGATCGGAGACAATTGTCTTTGGTAACCCATGAAGTCTAAAAACTTTGTTAAAGAAAAGCTTAGCAATATAGATAGCATCGGATGTTTTTGAACAACGGATAAAGTGAGCCATCTTGGAGTAACAACCCACAACCACAAAGATAGAATCATGGCCTCTTAAAGTTTTAGGTAAACCAAGAACAAAATCCATACTTAAATCTTACCAAGGCTCGTGAGGTAAAGGCAAAGGCATATACAAACCCGTATTTTGTCTTATTCCCTTAGAAATTTGACAAGTACTACATCTTGCAATGATTGAGCAACATCCCTTTTCATACTTGGCCAATAAAATCTATCCTCCATCATTGCAATGGTCTTATCTCTGCTAAAGTGTCCTACTACATCTCCAACATGTGATTCACGCACCATTTCTTCACGAAGAGATGTGTTAGGCAAGCATAAACGAGTTCCCTTAAAAAGGTATCCATCATATATGGAAAAATTAAGATGGTCATCATGTTTTTCGACTAATAAATCAAGCATAGATGATGATGAAATCCCAGTAATAAGAGTAATCTTTATTGAGTAAGTCGAAACCAACAACTTGAACATTCATATAATTAAGAACCGGTGTCATACGACAAAGCGTATCAGCTTGTCTTGTTTTCAATTCCAGCTACATGTTTGAGAACAAAAGTGTAAATTTACATGGTGATGATTTAGCTTCTTTTGAGAGTTTATGGATTTGGGCGCCTCATGATCGAATACAACACAAACTACTTAAAAATTAAATAATATCGCCGGTGTTGTAGTGCTTGAACCACAACATAAAATTCTTTGTCACGAGTTGAATATTTTTGCTTTGCCTTATTAAGCTTTTCACTAAAATAAGCTAGTGGATGTCTATCTTGGCTAAGTACACCACCAATACCTACTTGAGATGCATCACAAGCCACCTCAAATACTTTAGAGAAATCTAAAAGGTGTAAAAAAGAGCCTCGATCATCATCCTTTTAATTTCTTTAAAAGCCTTTGTTCGTTGTCTTTGTCTAGACGAATTGATCTTTTTTCAAACAATTAGTTATAGGAGCCATTATGATGCTGAAATCTTTAATAAATCCCCTATAAAAAGTAGCTAACCCGTGAAAACTTCTTACTTGACTTAAAGTGGTTAGGTCGGCCATTCCTTAATGGCTTTTACGCTATCCGGATCAACTTCAATTCCCTTTGATGAAACAATAAAACCTAAGAACACAACACTTGGAGTCATGAAAGAACACTTCTTTAGGTTGACGTAGAGTTTTTCTTAACGAAGAACTCTCATTATCTCGTAGAAGATGAGAGATGTGCTCTTTCTTGATCTTGCTTGAAAATCAAGATATCATCAAAGTAAATGACGAGAAAATGACTAATAAAGTGGCTAGAGTATTTGGTTTATAAACCTCATAAAGGTGCTAGGAGCGTTGGAAAGGCTAAATGGCATGACTAGCCATTCGTAAAGTCCACCTTTGGTTTTAAAAGCTCGTCTTCCATTCATCACTAGGTTTGATTCATAACTAATGATACACTTTTTAGGTTAATCTTTGAAAAGATGGTTGAACCCACCATAACATCTAACATGTCATCTAGACGTGGAATAGGAAAGCGATATTTAACGAGTAATTTTATTTTATAGCTCGACTATCAACACACGCGCTCCAAGTACCATCTTTCTTAGGTGTTAGAAATGTTGGAAAAACACGGGGACATAGACTTTCGTAAATAAATCCTTTAAACGAGTAGCTCATCAACTTGCCTCTCGAGTTTAGCATGCTTACTAGGATTCATCCGATATGCTCGGAAGGTTAGGTAGTTGTGAACCCGGAACAAGATCAATTGCATGCCGAATACTATATATGGGAGGCAATTCCTTAGGTAGATCTTCCGGTACAACATCAAAGAGGTTCGATAATAATCTACTCACCTCCGAAGTCAAATTAAAAATAGGGGTAGTAATCGACTTTTCCGTCTCTCTTGCAATAACAATAAAAATCACCTTAGACTCGGAGCTTGTTGCTTGGAATTGTTTCTTAGCCGATACTTAGAGATACTTCCTTGTAGTGCCACTAATACTTTTTGAATTCCGAGACTTTTCTTCATACTTCTGATGTCAAGTGAACTCATTAGCCTTAGGACAATAATCTTCTTTCAAAAGAAAAGGAGTATGTATTCTCATGTCTATCATGTTTCACATGTCAATCAAAAAGCCAAGGTTAACCAAGAAGAATGTGAGTAACTTGCATAGGAACCATATCACACAATATAGAATCATTGTAGGATCCACAAGTAAAGGCAACAAGACATTGTTATGTTACCCGGATGGTTCCGTTGTCAATCCAAACTACTTTGTATGGTTGTGGATGAGGGTTGGTAAGAAGTTTGAAACGGTCAACTCGTGGATGTTGAAACAACATTCATGCAACTCCTACCATCAATTATAAGCTTTTTGGCTTGATTCCCACAACTAACCAAGGTCCGAAATATTGTACAACGTTTTCAATTTTCATCCTTTTCTATCTTAGGGGTTGCAAGTATGTGCCTAACAATAGATAAAGGAGAAGTATTCTCGTCCTCATCATTAGCAAGATCATCGACTTTATAAGTTTCAAATTCACGTGAATTGTCAAATTCTTTTGTGTTTCCTCTCTTTGCTCAATCCCAATATGTAAACTATTCTTCTTAGGACATTGGTAACCTATGTGTCCATGCTCCCCACATTTAAAATAGACGAGACCCTTTGTTATCTCTACCTTTAGTGTAGGTTACATTAGAAGAAGATAGTTGTGAGGCATAAGAATGATTAAAAGGTTGTGGAGAGGCTATCCTTACTTCTTTATTCATGTCATTGTATCTTCATGTTATTGTCCTCTCGGCTCGAAACCCAACTTTCCTTGTAACTCGGTTGCTTTAGGTATTCCTCTTATCAACTCGCTATTTGACATACATGCTCTACACTCGTAAAGATCTTTCCTAACTAATTCCCTCTTGATATCGGCCCTCAAACCTACCTTGAATTGGGCGAGGGCTTGTTCGGGATCTTTCATAATCCGACCTCCGATCTTTAGCTCTTCAAACTTTTCTATATATTCATTAATAGTTAGGTCGCCTTGTCGTAAAACATAAGTCGCCTTATGAATCTTTTGAACATAATTGGTCGGCATGTACTTTTTCATAAGTTTGGCTTTAATCTCAAACCAAGTAGTGATAGGTGCATATCCAAGTCGACCTATGTCTTGTGCAACACGATACCTTCAAATCTTGGCTAAACTTATAAGTTTCATCTTTGCAAGTCTCACTTTTCATTCATCCGACATATCATACCAATTG